ATTTTGAAGATTGTTTGTTCCCAAAAAACGTCTGCATTTTAAAATACTAGAAGTGTCAATAAAATCAAGATGGTGATGTCAGTAATGATTGGATAAGTCTGTAGAATTTGTTTAGAAGGAAGAGTTTTCCAATATAAAAAATATATTTATGTTAATACTGGTATAATACTTCAAGGAATAAATAAAGTGTGATTATGTGTTTTTCATTTTGTGCCTGGCCCATACTAGTTTTCACAAGTGCATAGCACAAGTTTCTGTCCTAATTACAAATGAATGACAAATTCATACAACATTTGTTCCATGGTTAGAACAACACGTTTTGAAATTGGTAGGGATAGTTTAATTTTTTACATTAGTATTTCCTACCGGTACATCAATAAAATCCCAAAATAACTACAGTAACTGTTTTTCTTGATTTTAAGTAAAACGTGTAGGTTAATATTACATGTCTCTTTATCAAAAATTGTCAATAGTATATTTGCCCACTGCAAGCATTGGTACAATAGACTGGATGTCGTGTCCAGACTGGGGTAATACTAATAATATTTATTATTATACATCTGTCACCGTAACGCCATAAGTTACAGCGTGGCGTAATTTTGTGGTATTGCACTGAGTATTTTCATCCTACCATATTAGGAAACGCGAATTCCAAATATGGAACGATTATGCACATAACCATCCTCTAATTATAAAAACAAACATGGCTACCCCCGGGTTTGACCAGTCCCCACACAAAGAAGTTCGCTAAATCTGTTTTTAACGTTTTGGATTTTGATATTCCTATGATGTATTTCTAATAAGGTTATTATGAGAATACTGCAAAGTATACACTTAGGCAGTATGCGGTCGCATCAACCAACGTTGTACGTCGGTCGATACTCCTGCGTCTTCATGCATACATTGCGGTATCCTCGTAATAACATCATATTAACTCATAATATCTCCTGGAAAAGACATGAACAAAACAACAACAAAAAAACACAGCTCCAAACTCATTCAAAACACTCACTACTGGTTCCAAAATTATTAATACAAATTTCTGCTTTGTTAAATAAATGCAGTCTATGGGGGGACGGTCGATTCGTCCCAAATCACATTCGCCCCAAGTCGATTCGTCCTACAAGTCGATTCGTCTCAAGTCGATTCGTCCCACAAGTTAATTCGTCCCAAAGTCGATTCGTCCCACAAATTGATTCGTCCCACAAGTTGATCGATTCGTCAGATTTAAGGTTAGCCCACTACTAACTCGCCAAATAAACACAAAAAATCCAAACAACGAACTGTTCACGTACACGTCATGCACTGGCATGCGTAATTGTTCGTTATGCCATTTTGTTTTTGCCAACGTTATAAACACGCAACGCAACGTGGAGTTATTAGTTAATAAATACAAATACACCGTACATGCAACGTACAAGTTATTAGTTAATAAATACAAACACACCTTACATGCAACGTAGAGTTATTAGTTAATAAATACAAATACATCGTACATGCAACGTACAAGTTATTAGTTAATAAATACAAATACACCGCACACGCAACATAGAGTTATTAGTTAATAAATACAAATACACCGTACACGCAACGTACAAGTTATTAGTTAATAAATACAAATACACCATACACGCAACGTACAAGTTATTAGTTAATAAATACAAATACACCGTACATACAACGTACAAGATATTAGTTAATAAATACAAATACATCGTACATGCAACGTACAAGTTATTAGTTAATAAATACAAATACACCGCACACGCAACGTAGAGTTATTAGTTAATAAATACAAATACACCGTACACGCAACGTACAAGATATTAGTTAATAAATACAAATACACCGCACATGCAACATAAAGTTATTAGTTAATAAATACAAATACATCGTACATGCAACGTACAAGTTATTACTTAATAAATACAAATACACCGCACACGTAACGTAGAGTTATTAGTTAATAAATACAAATACACCGCACATGCAACGTGGAGTTATTAGTTAGCGTGTCAGTAACAGTTGGCATAGAAATTGACCCTGCTCAAGATTGTAACGCTGACCAAAAATTAAAAAAAATGGACGAATGTGAATTGGGACGAATGTGAAATAGGACGAATGTGAATTGGGACGAATCGACTTGTGGGACGAATGTGAATTGGGACGAATCGACTTGTGGGACGAATGTGTTGGGACGAATGTGAATTGGGACGAATTGACTGTGAATCAGTCTATGTGCCCGGTATGCTGGGCAATTCATAACATAGTGTTTTATATCGTTAAAATTGGTTACTGTTCTAGAATTAAATGAATTCATCTGTTTATGTATGACAACATCAATTTTAAGACAAAGATTACTATAAACTCTTAATCCAGTTAAGCTCATAAGTAGCAAAACGTTAGTCGTATCAAGAAAGTAGCTTTCAGCTTTAAACTTGTTCTGTATTGCAATTGCACATTTAACATTCTTCCCACCCAAAATAGATTATTTATGCTACTGTGCAGTAAACAAAATTAAAACTACCACAGTGAAAACCGCGCAATATAATAATCATTTTATTTTAGCACCATGTTCACAGTTACATACCCGCATTTTATTAACAACGATCTAATTTTAATTAATAACCTGACAGAGCAATTATTGTAAAATAAATAAATTACCTTGGGTAGATCTTTATTGTTTCTCACATCGGTCACCATTTTTGTCCCATTTGGATGTATTTTCGACACGTGATTCCACATTCGTTCCCATGTCTTCTTACTGATAGGAAAACCATCTTTATTGACGTAAAATAAAACGCCACTTTCTTCTTGAAAATCCCCTTCTTCTTCCTTTTCTCGCCCCTTGTTGTCACCTTTCTTCTGATCTGACATACTTTGCCATTACATACTCATAAACTGAACTGTCAAGTTTGCAATCTGTCGATTAAAATGGAGGAGAAAGAAATGAAAACAATATCTTCGTGCCCAGTTTTATGTTTGTTTACATCTCGTTTCCAAGTGTTAACCTTTGACCCATTTGAGTGTTTGTAAAGTATGTACTCCAATCTAGCAGAAGGTAGGTGGCGCTCTCAAGATCGTACGATATTTGATACCGGTAATGATTGCGCTGATACAAACACTAGCTGTTCTGATTTTCAAATAGCATAGTCGTGTTTGATGGTGACTGGTCAGTAGGTAAGGAAACCTATTTATGAATATTAGGACTTACCGGTAGTAAATAATTTAGCGGTAATATGTGAATATTTCTGACCTACTGAACTCTTGATCCAGGGTGCGGTGTTTGAGCATATTACCGGTACTATGAGCTGTTCCTTTCCCATATACTACTACTATAGTAACGGTATATCACAGGCACTTACAGCAGGAGTTTAGAATCCAATTAGGGTTAGGGTTATATTACCGTAACTTTAACCCAATCCTAAACTCCTGATGCAAGTGCATTTGATATATACGACAGAACAAGTATTGGGACAAAACCCTGGTCAAACTCGCTGACTGAGAATACGGATTGCCAGCAAATAGTCACATCCATTCTGCACCGATCTATATTGCAGCAGGGATGAATACAATGCTATTCAAACGTACAGAAAACATTGATTGATACTGAAGCAATCATAATTGCACAGAAATATTTTTAACATTTTCAGACAACATGATGAAGGCCAACATGGAATCTATTTTACGTGGTTGGATTGCTCTTGTTGCAATGATGGCTGTAGGCAATACTGTGCAGTGTTTTGTAGATGAAAGATTTCTGGCTAATAAATTATACACTGGTGCCGCAGAGTCTGGTAAGTTCCATAATTTCATCTTGCATTGGCCACACTTATCCTAACACCTGCATGGCCATACAATCAGTGAACACTTGTTCACTGTGTTTGATTACCTATCAAATTACTACTTGTATAAACACTTTGACTAAACTGGTTTATTGTTATTGTTCAAATATTTTCTATGAAATAATAGTTTAATATATATTTTATGCTGGATTATACATCAATTCATTTTTCAACTGGTGTCAAATTTTGTAAATAACTTTTGCACAGAAACTAAATATATTTTTACCAACTTATATATATTTGTTGTTTCAGTAAATCCATTAATGGCCAGGTTATTTGGTGTATGGACATTGCTTGCTGCCATTGTTAGATTCTATGGTGCATTGCATATCACAATCCAACCGTAAGTATGCATATCACAATCCAACCGTAAGTATGCATATCACAATCCAACCGTAAGTATGCATATCACAATCCAACCGTAAGTATGCATATGTATTAACTATTCATTGTCATTACAAGAATCTTAGTTCATGTAGATATTAGTGTATGTATGAACAACTCAACATCTCATCCCAGGGATTTGGTGAATCAATAAATTTGAAAGTATATAATAAGTTTAGATAACAACAGAGTTAATAGGTGTCATATCAATACCTAATTTGAAAAAAATATCTGGATATTATTAACATTTTGAAAGGAATATATTTTTTTCAATAGTTTTACCTTTATCACCTTTGTTTATTTCAGAATATACAACTTGACATTGATATCTTTTATATTGGCACTGGTTCATTTTGTATTGGAATCATTTGTATATAAATCAGCACCTATGAGTATAGGTGTTATAGCACCACTACTTGTCTCAGGTAAGATGGCCATTATATAAATCAGCACCTATGAGTATAGGGATTATAACACCACTACTTGTCTCATGTAAGATGGCCATTATATAAATCAGCACCTATGAGTATAGGGGTTATAGCACCACTACTTGTCTCAGGTAAGATGGCCGTTGTATAAATCAGCACCTATGAGTATAGGTGTTATAGCACCACTACTTGTCTCATGTAAGATGGCCATTATATAAATCAGCACCTATGAGTATAGGGGTTATAGCACCACTACTTGTCTCAGGTAAGATGGTCATTATATAAATCAGCACCTATGAGTATAAACATTGTAATTCTTTGTTCTGATTTTATAATTTACAATGTAACAAGTGATCCTTTTTTACCTTTTTGCATTTATTTTTGTTATTTATGAATGTAGAGTTGTCTGACTAAACAGATGATTTACTAGTAATATTTTGGAAGGTGTATTTTGATTGTCATTAACCATGATCTGGTGTACTTTTTTGCATGTCATTCTTTGCTGTACATTTCTAGTTGTAATAGAGCATGTTTTTTGCATTTTTTTTGCAGGCTTGTCAGTAATTCTCATGGTCATTGGCTATAGTTACATTGAATTTGATGTGCCAAGGAGACAAATACACAAGACATCAAAGAAAAAGTTGATGTGAGAAGGAAAGTACTCAAGCATGCATGCAAGAAAAATAACTAGCTGCATCAGTATCAATGTCCAATAGGATCTTCATTACATGTGTCCATAGATGGTTATGAACTTAAAATCTATTTGCTGTTACATGTGTTTAACACATGTTATCAATATGGAATTTCATATTTTTTACAATCCCACCTGTTTGATTATTGTGTGACAATTATGTAAATGTAAACTATATCTAATTAGAATATAACTACCGGTACATGTATATGGATGTATTTTAAACAAGTCATTGAAAATGACATAATCCCTGTTGGTACTATATATAGGAAGGTAGTCGATTATTCCAGGTGAGAGTGCTTGATACTAAACGATGGGTTTGTAGAGCAGATTTACATACGTGGACATAGAAATTAATGTACCTTATGAAACAGTACTGTAGAGTGCACTTTACTCATGTAGTCGTATCTTAATTTCTCTGTCCACATATATATATATGGATGGGGAGGGGGGTATACAGATGTAGTGATCTGAATGTACATGTTTTTATAAGACATCATCATGGTTGATAATTTTATGTGTTTCAACTAAAATCATGAAACTTATGAGTATGCAGTTAAATGCTGGTGACCTTTGAACTATTATAACACATGAAATATAGAGATGTAGATGTATTTATTGTTGCTTCTAATGATTTAATAAAAAAAATGCACATTGCTTTTCTTATGTCTTTAAATATATTTGAATGCATTAGTAATCCTTATAAGTTGTCTCTGGATATGGCTGAAATGGCTACATGCTATTTTAAGAAATTTGAACCCCCAAAAGATTTTTTATTCAGACAGCAATCTAATTATCGTGAATTATCTGAATCTGGAATTTTCGAAGGTATGGGTTAGCACATTGCTGGCTGAAGGCCTTCACAGACATGCCAAGATAAATGGGAAATAAATGTGTTGATATAACATGATGCCCAAAAGGAATCATTTGTTGTATTTACTCTATTAGATATGCAGGTACTTTCCACAATCAAACATTAGGACACTATTGCTAGACTGGCATTGTGTGGTGATCTTCAGACTGTTTTCTGTTCTTAAATAATTATTTTGACTTGCGGATTGATAAAACAACTCTTTCTTGTAGTATATATAATCAAAGACTTACATATACTTGAAATGAGCTGCTGTCATGCTATTTACCAGAGTGCTGCTTCAATGATATGCAGAACTTGATAGAAAAGTGAATTCTTTGTCTAAACAATTAACTTTCTTACCTGGGGTTATAGACTTGTGTGCTTTGCAGCTCAAAATTGCTTTTCTTCCTGTTGACACATGTTGAAAATACAGAGCAGTACAGTAATATTGGCAGCAACTCTTGAGCACCGAGTTTAAAAATCAGTCTGTGTAAAAATATTTTAGATAGACAGCTTGTTTGCATTCTCCAATAAATTATTCCTGGTATGATATATGATTTTCAAAAAATGATATTATTGTGCTGTATTTCTAGGAAACATTACAGTAACATAAAACGGATTTTTTTTTTAATTTTAAGGTCTGTTAAGTGAATTGTTTAGGCCAAAGTTTTATAAATTTCATTTATTTAATAACACTCACTATTTAGGCCACTGTTAAACATCACTTTGTGTATTATTTTGTTGCACATGCGATACACACAAATGTATCCCAACTTGAACACAACATTCAACAATAAAAACAAAAGATAATGCATTTCGAACACTAGAGTGATACAAGATGGCGACCTCAGACGAAAAAAGTAGTGTGCTCCATTCATTCCAAAAAGTATTAAAATACGCAAATTTGGAGCCGTTGTATTTGTTAGAACCTCTTACGAGGGCCTCTATAGAAGTCACTCAAGAAACGCATCATAGTCAAGAGAAATTAGAGTGCGTGTCGACACTTTTAACCGTTGTCGAGAACTTGGAACGACAGCCACCGGTTAGTCCACGTGAGTACGATTCACAAGATGTTGAAGGGTGCGCTAATCAACGGATGCCATCACAGCTACAGAACATAGTCACGGGTGTTTGTATTCCGAATCTAAAGTCAGTGAGACCAGATGAAAGTAACTTGAAAGTGGCTGAAGTTGAGTTACAGCTGTTACATTCAGTATGTGCCCTGACAATGTCGTGTCTGCGACGGTCGGAAGACATGCACTCACTGAGAGATATCATTATTATGATGGGTATTAAATCCGTTCAGGCATACTGCGAAACAGTGAAATTGAGTGATCACGACAGAGACAGAAATACCGAGCTTGATGACACCCTCCATATTTATACTGCTTTGGAACTTCTTAATTATTTCTTTGAGTCCAAAAACTCTGAAGCAGATTGGCTTAAAATTCAACGTGTTTGGACAGAAAAGCTTTTTACAGAAATGTTGCATGTGTTACGTTTGTCAAGGGACAGAACTGTATGCACCAGAATTGTCAGCGTTCTGCTACCTAGGCTGCTCGATCACAACCCGGAACTTTTGTCCGAGAGACTTGAGTTGCTATGGAAACAAATAGCAACATCATCAGTGGCCAATACCAATCACCATGGCAATGTATTTCTTTTGCTTTGTGGATTGGCTGATTACTATTTCCCCTCATCTGGCCAATCATCAGCTGATATTCTTGATCTAAAACGAAATACTATTTTCTGGGATGTTGTTCAACTTGGAATAATTGATAGTGACGCCCTTAACAGGAAGAGAGCAATGTACCTGTTGAAGAGAGTTGTTGATATATGTAGTCATGGCGATATTGATGTCATGTCAGACTGTTCTGAAGGTGATTGGCCAAAGTTTTGGTGGTCAAGTAAGGACAAGGGTCAGCTAGAGAATAAATGGCAAGATTTTATTTTGTTGGTTGAGACTCTAGAAGAAACACAGGTAAGTAAGGCATAATAGCAGTTCTGAGAATCATTTTGGTCACTTGCAAGTTTGGGCAGCACTAGATACACCATTGACTGTGTCCTGAAATTTTTGGCTATATCAGCACCATGCTATTTATTAGCCAGGAATTTGTAACTGTTCATATTACTGATTGTCCGTCGTCATCCGTCGTTCGTCGTCAACTTTACAATTTCAACTTCTTCTTCGAAACCGCAAGTCAGAATGTTTCAAATTTGATATGCAAGTACCTTGAATGGTTCTTTCTCAGATTTGTTCATTTCATGTCAAAATCTCAAATTCTCTATGTTTGGTGAATATTTTTGTAATTTTTGGTAAAAGTGATATTTTCGACTTCTTGTTGAAAATCGTAAGTCTGATTGCTTTGCTATTATATATATATATATATAGGTACTGCAGGTAGACCTCTCTCAGATTTGTTCATTTCGTGATGATATCTTTAATTCTCTTATTTTGTTATTTTTGGTAAAAAGTGATATTTTTGAATTCTTGTTGAAAACAGCAAGTCCGATTGCTCTACATACTATACATATTGTTCATTTTCTAATGATATCTTCTGTTCTTTAATTGAAATGTGCCTTGCTAAGTGCGGAGCTACATGTATCTCAGCTGACAGGCTGATTGTTTTGTTTCCATTGACCATCTGATGGCCATTTTACCCCTATTCTAGTTCCAAAAAACATTAGAACATGTTATCAAAGGTTTCTCAGACATGCCTGGAGCAATGATATTGACATACATTCATGGTGTGTTACTGATGCACGTCAATTATTTTGATTTTGTTTAAATTTGGTACAAAGATATAATACGTCTGCTTCAGTTATCAATTGTTTTTCAGTCATCCCTTGGCTGATATTATTCAAACTTATTTGTGTTAGTTGTTTGGCTGTTGATAATATATATTGATCAATTCTATATTTAACATGTGCAGGCTTTTAGCCAGGAATCTGAAACTGCCAGTCCAAAACAATTCAACTTCATGAAAAATGTAGATGGTTTTTTATATATTTTGGTAAAATAGAAAAAAAAACAGAAAAATGGTAATAAAAAAAGACGCCAGTCCAAAATCAAAGTTGCCAGTCTGTTTGGTGGGTGGACTGGTAGCTGGCTAACACCCTGAACACGAGTAGCTGGCAGCTATTATGAAATAATAGTTTTGTATTATATTGCATTCAAGTTCCATTTGAATTTTGAGTTTATACATATGGTCTTGTGATCGTAAAACAAAATGATGTTCATCAAGGTCCTATAATGTCCAACGTATATACAAGGTTTGAACAAAATCCCTCTGTAAACAGCCATAAATGCTTGATTTTGATGGCCACTATTCGGCCATTTTTAATAGGATCGTAAAACCAATATATCTGTATATCTATGATATGATCTATATTGAATATTTAAAATTTGAACATAATCAGTCAAAGCAAGTCAGAGATATGGCACTAGAACCACATTCATTAAAACAAAATCTTAATCTTATATGAAAAACAAAATGATGTGCATCAAGGACCTATAATGTCTAACGTATATACCAATTTTGAACAAAATCCATCTGTAAACAGTTGAAAAATTCTTGATTTTGATGATTTTTAGCACAAAAATGGCTGCCATTTGGCCATCTTGAATCAGATCGTGAAACAAATTGACGTGCATATGTATAATATCATGTATGATGTATGTGTGAAGTTTAATTGTGGTTAGTCCAGGCATTTCTAAGATACAGGACGCACACAGGGACACACGGAGGTCAAAACATAAGTCCCCGTTTTCGGACTGCATCCAAACAGGGACTAATAATCGAGGTATGTAAATGTATGGTAAATCAGCCATTGCGAGCGTCGCTGTGAGTTCGTAATGGTGAAAAAACAGGTGATTGCGAGTTCGCAATGGCCAAAAAACTGACGATTGAGAATTTGCAATGGCAAAAAAACTGACGATTGAGAGTTCACAATGCCACAAAAACAGTCGACTAAGAGTTTGAGTAACACATAAAACAAAAGACTGATTTATATTGTTGAGCGTTGCTGAAGTGGAAAATAGAAAACAGTTTTGAAACGTCGTGTGAACCATCAAAGGTATGCCGATAGTCAACCAATGGTAGATATGGATTCACGCAACCCTGCTGTTACATTGTACCAAACATGAAGTGAAGAGATTTGTCAAACTCTCTGGCGAGGACGTATCATTTGGTGAATTATTTGAGGAAAAAACGTTGTGACAGGATGTAGTTCACAGCGTTCCGCAGAGCCATTGTATTCATAGTTCTAATGACAAAACGACCAAGAACGTGGCGTGCAGTCAGCAGACAGCGGCACATTTCACCAGCAAACTGCACTGCAATCTGAATCATTACAAATGGGCATGATTTTATTTTTGTTGTCCTGTTGCTCCGTGGTCTAACCTAGGATTGTCGCGAAAAATTGAGTCAATTCAGTTCCTGGGGTAGTTGTTTATTTGAAGTGTTACTTATATGTCGAACTCTCAATCGTCAGTTTTTTTGCCATTGCGAATTCTCAATCGTCAGTTTTTTTGCCATTGCGAACTCGCAATCGCCTGTTTTTTGCCATTGCGAACTCGCAGCGATGCTCGCAATGGCTGTTTTACTGTACATTTACATACCTCAATAATCATTGTAATGCAAAATTAAATTGATTATTGTATTCTCTTGTTTATTCTTTGCAATTTCAGTAAAAAAAAAGTTTATATTTTTGTTTTTCTATTCCCCTCAACCAGGGAGGGAGTTGCATGACACCATTGATCGAAATAATCATCTCATTTGCAATGAAAAACTCTTTTCAGTAGAATTGTGCCAAAATGTTTTCCGATAGTATACATGATAGTTCTAAATTGACTGATTCTTTCGTTACAAGCTAAAAAAATAATCGAAAAACTGATGTAAAGGTGTTTTTTGAGACATGTTTTTGATCAGGCAAACTGTTGAAAGTAACCACAGATTTTTTTTTACCCTGATCATAGCAAGTTACGAAATTCGAGGAGAATGCAGAGACACGTTTATATTTCACTCTAGTACTATTGCTCAAAATTACTCAAAATGTTTTCAGTGACTTTTGTCAGGACAATTTACCTAATTAGTATGCATTTTGAGAAACTACAGTGTGTGTGGGTTAGCACAGTTTGAAATTGAACAATTTTGAACACAATAAAATCATGTGTAGAGCTCGGGCTCCAGCAAGATATTGTGGTGTCAAACTAGCTGTCGTTTAAATTGTATTGCAATAGACATAATTTTAGAGCCTGCATTTTTCTATGAAATGTTTCTAAGTTTTATTCTGTAAAGAAATTGCTGAAATTATTTCATATGTTCGTAAACGGGA